ATTTTTCACCAAATCACAACAAAACTTTCATCACGGTGCTTTTCCACACAGCTTACATCCTCCTCATGATGGAAACAGGACATAAATAAACTGGCTGCTTTCCTCTTATGAGCAGATGAGCACGAAACATCTCTGCTGTTCTGTCTGAGCCATCAAGCAATAATCAGATATTTTCCCCTGTTGGCGACGCTGATGCTTCCAAAGACGGATGGAAATGTACTAAAGTTTGTGATTTTCATTTCATTCTCTGATACCAACGTCTTTACAAACTCTGTGAATCATCAGTTCTCTGTAAATTAATCAAATAAACTTCTGGACCAAATGTCTAAACTTGCAGATTGTATTTAAGCATCATCAGCGTTTTCTTCCAGCATCATGCAAAGCTGGAAGAATCCACTTGATGGCGGTGTTGTCTAAGAGAACCGAGGAGCTGAAGTGTGAGCGCTCTTTGCTGAGATGATGGGTTTTTGTACAGGGACTCGGGGTTTCCTGTCACTGTGGGCTTCACGGCGCAGAAGTAAACAGCAGAATCTGCCACTGTGGCAGAGGAGATGTTCATCTGGATCAGTTTTTCCTCCACTTGGACCTTCAGTCCCGGGACTGGATCATTTAGCACAGATCCTGATGCTGAGTGTGAGATGAGAAACTGAGGTGGTTTTCCTGGATGTTGCCGATACCAGAAGAAATAATCTGTAGTTACGAGTTTGGGGTAGTTGTAGGACAGAGACACGGTGTTGCCTTCCACAGAGAGCTGATTGTGCTCACTGTGGACTGGACTGAGCTCCTCACAGCTCACATCTACAGAGGAAAAAGGTATTTAAGTTATTGTGGTCCGAGTCTGAACAGCAGATAGAACAGATTCTTTGTAAATGTGAGTTACCAGTGAAGACGCAGAGGAGCAGCACCGGCACCAGAATCATCCTGTTGGACAGAAACGAAGCTTCTGCATGTGGCTCAGAGCGACGCTCGAGCGTTCCTCACGTGCACGGGAAGCCCCTCCCCCTCGTGATGTCACTGTGACGGTCGTACCACAGATGTGAACGGGTCGTCATCTCTTTCTTATGCTCGTGTAATGTTGTGTAATAAGCTCATATTTTAACATCGCAGCTTGTGTTCAGCAGCAGTGTCGACGGTGTTTTGTAGTCAGGCTGTGTTTGCGTCACGCTGAGCTGCAGTCAGTCAGCTGTTCACTTTGTAGGACCAAGTACTTCTAATCATCTTTTGTCAGTAATTCAGCGCATTTATTTCCTCCCTGTTATTAACTTGTTGGTGCATTAAAGTGGGAAATAGTTTCAAACGCACAGCGAGGTGTGTCAGCCTCTGTTAGCTGCAGGAGTCACATGGGCTTCTTCTGTGCACTGAGAGGCGCCCTCCTGCTGCCATGGTAACACTTCCTGTATCTGGTCAGAATGGAAATGCTGATGTTGTGATGTTTTTGACAGATTCATATTTTTGGTGAGGATAAAGCAAACAGCCGGACGTGAGAGACCTACAAATACCCGGGCCTCTGGTTTCCTGATTTTAGTGTCGTGAGGTGACTGTTGTGATTTGATGCTATAAACATAAATCTGAATTCAACT